GACCTGCCACATTTCATCACGACCACGTTGCTATTGTTGTTCATTAAATGACGACATCGTCTTCCCTTATTGGCTCATGTCGTGTTTACTTTCCTATCACGATACAAACATGTTTCACTGAAATCCTTGAGATGTCGCGTGATGTTAACCCGCGGGGGGGGCGACTGTTCGGCTGACAGTCTACGTCCCGCCCCCAAGCGTCTGACGTCACTGCCCGACGTCGGACCGGACTGTTTGTTCTGGATTTGGGGCGAGAAGGTCTGCGACGCGCGGACGGGCGACCGAAGACAGTAAAGGTGTGCTCTTATCCCGGCTCGGCTCGGCTCGGCGCGGGGGGCCGCGCGCGGGCGGCGGCGGCGCGAGTCGCTGGCTGTCAGCGTGCGCTCGGGGCTCGCGGGGAACGGTGTGTCCCCCCCCCCCGCAGGCCTCCCGGTCCCAGCCGGGACGCGTCCCTCGCGGTGGCTTTAAAATGGCGGGCTTTGGCGTGGCCGCGCGACGTCGGCGTCGTCCTCGCGCGGAAGTCGCTCCGCGCTGTCACCGCCCGCCCGTTCTGGCCCGCGGGTCGCTTGCGTGCTAACCAGCTAGCTGCTAGGCTGTTTGTTTGTAGCCCCGAACGAACGTATTCGCGACGCGGGTTTACGTCCTGTCGGCGGCGTCGCTTACGCTCGTGACGTTACGTACGCGCGCTGTATTCCGAGAGGCCGTTTACGTGCGAGCTGTCAGCCTGCGCTCAGCGGGGAAACATGGCGGCGCGCTGACACGGAAGGTTAGCGGAGGCGGGCGTGATTAAAGGGACCCGCTGGTCCGCGCCGCCTCGCGAGGCCGCCAGCGCGTCACCGGGTAACGTCGGCGCGGGACAGTAGATGATGGTGATGATGGCGGATGAATGTTGAGTAATTCATTCACGTGTCAAAAGTGACAGCTGCGACACTGACGTGACCAGATTATCAGCCTTTACGATGTATTCTAGTACTTTACGGTAGTAGAGGACGAACACACGGTGGAAATGAACCCCGGCGAACTGAAAGTGCGCGACGTTAAGTGTCTGTATCAAGTAGACACGTGGTTGATCACTGAAGTGTGATCTAATGTTTCTGCCGTATTGTTTGTGTTGCATTCAATGTCCTTTTTATATCCCGTTGGCTGGATCATCTACCTGTGAGATGCAGTTCAGTTGGCGTTGCCATGGAGACCATTGTAGAAGACAACCTTGTGCATAAAGTAAACAGACCTTTGAGCTCCACAACATTCTTTATCAGAGAACCTCTCGCTAGCTGAAGGTCAGAGTTCATCCATAAAACCTTAGTGTGGTTACGTGATGATGCGTTTAGGCTTTGCTCAGTGAAAATAAGAACATACCTGTATTAAACTTATCCAAATATATCCAGATGTTTCCAGTAGCACCACTATTCGCTCCAAATGTCTAACTCTTGAGATAATGTCTCCGTGGCTGTGGTTACCTCAACATCTCCTTTCCTAACAACTTCTCCCCCTGAGGATTAAGGAAAGGTTGTAAGGATAATTCACAAGGAGTGAGGAGATGACTCACGTAGTTGTGATGTCGCTGAACGTGAAACAAAAACCTCCAGGAGACGGAGCACAGAGAAGCTCCCCTGAGATCCGTTGTGTCTTCTCAGATTAAAAGTATGACTTTATTAACCAGGCGGGAATGTAAACGTAAGAAGGAATTCTCAAAGAACCCGAGGGGTCGTCACACAGAACACGGTTCCTAACTGTCCGTGTCTGAGCATCGACTAGTTACAACAACGCCTTTCCTATGCTGAAGGAGTCAATGAAGGAAGCATTAATGCACCTTTCCTATATTAAAGGAGAGTCATACATCATTAAACTGATTCAGGGTCAGCTGAATATAAGGTGAGCCCTGTTTTTAGATGAGGTGGGTGGAGGTGACTTCACAGGTGTGATGAAGGAGTGGGACTCCGCCTGCGAAGGTTGTTCACCTGATGTCTCCCTGTTTCCAGGTTGTCTGCAGGTTGTTTACCTGTTGTTTGCCTGTTGTCTGCAGGTTGTTTGCAGGTTGTTTACCTGTTGTCTGCAGGTTGTCTGCAGGTTGTTTGCAGGTTGTTTACCTGTTGTCTGCAGGTTGTTTGGAGGTTGTCTGCAGGTTGTTTACCTGTTGTCTGCAGGTTGTCTGCTGGTTGTTTACCTGTTGTCTGCAGGTTGTTTACCTGTTGTCTGCAGGTTGTCTGCTGGTTGTTTACCTGTTGTTTGCCTGTTGTCTGCAGGTTGTTTGCCTGTTGTCTGCAGGTTGTTTGGAGGTTGTCTGCAGGTTGTTTACCTGTTGTCTGCAGGTTGTTTACCTGTTGTCTGCTGGTTGTTTACCTGTTGTCTGCAGGTTGTTTGCTTGTGTCACAGAGACTGACGTCTGCCTCTCTCTCAGGTGGGACGCACATTCCTCGATCTGGCCGTACAGGAAATCTCCGCCTGCTCGGCCGAGCTATGATCGCACATCTGGATTAAACCACAGCTGTACAGCGACAAACATGTGAGTCTCGAGTAAATGTTCATCTAGATGGATGGAAAAATAAATACATAAATGAATAGAACATAATAGAAAAGTATGACGTCGTTGTTGATGTCATTTAGGTTAAGTTAAACTGATCATTATTAATATACAACATCTGGATTGATTCCAGACATCGGCAATGATTTTCCTGACTGGAGAAGAATTCAATTTCCACTTTGATGGTAAACAAGTGGTTACACCGATGATGAAATGATGCTGTTCTTGCCCCCCCCCCGCCCCCCGCAGAGACCCAAGTGAGGACTGTAATGGCCTGAGGGCCCCCCCCCTCCCACCGGGCCCCGCCATGTCCTATCCGCTCAAACTGTCTGCTCAGTCACTGCAAGCCTCCACGGCGATGGGAGACGGGCCGGAGGCCGGCAGCAGCCACAACCCCCCCCCGGCCCCCCCGCCCCTGGCCTTCAACGCCGCGCCCCCCGAAATATGGAGCCCCTCCCGACCCAAGCGACAGACCAACCAGCTGCAGGTACTGGTCCCGCTCAGCGCGGGAACGCTCTCTGAGGTCGCCTGTCTGCGTGCCCAGTCTGAGGGTTTCTGCTGCGTGTTGTTTTTCTCAGTTCCTGCTCAAAGAGGTGCTGAAGACGCTGTGGAAACACAACTTTGCGTGGCCCTTCCAGGCTCCCGTAGACACCATCAAGCTGGGCTTACCTGTGAGTCACCTCTCTGTGTTTAGCAAGTTGCCCTATTGAATGACTTTTAAATCAATCAGGGGACTTCATCTTCTTCTGTGGTCAAAATGTGGGCTTTATAAGCAAATACACATACACATGAAACGCTGCTAGGTGAACATCTAATTCACCGTGTTCTGCTCCTTCAAAGAACTCCACACCGACACCTTCTACCACGTCCTTCAGATGCCTCTTTTTTGGGTCCCAATGAGACTTACGTAACATGAAGGTTCTTCTCTGTAGAGGAGCAGCTGAGACGGGAACCGCACTCTGTCCCATGAAGGCCTCTAACAGCTGACCAATGGTTGCTTTCTGATCCCTGAAGGACTACTACAAGATCATCAAGATCCCCATGGACATGGGCACCATAAAGAAGCGCCTGGAGAACCACCACTACTGGAACGCCCACGAGTGCATCCAGGACTTCAACACCATGTTCACCAACTGCTACATCTACAACAAGGTCAGCCGGGCGGAGCGCCGCCTTCAGGCACCAGGAGGCCGCTCACAGACCTCCTGAACGTACGCGTGTGTGTGTGTGTGTGTGTGTGTGTGTGTGTGGTGTGGTGCGTGTGCGTGTGCAGCCCGGCGATGACATCGTCCTGATGGCGAAGGCCCTGGAGAAGGTCTTCCTCCACAAGATCACGGAGATGCCGCAGGAGGAGACTGAGATCGCCGTGGTCACCAAGGGCCGGCGTGGGGGCCGGCGGGAGCCAGGTACAGGTCCAGAGCCTGAGCAGACGAGCCCCCCCCCCCCCCCCCTTTGGTTGATGATTTTATTCGTTCCATCCAGGTTTGACCACCAAGTCGGATTCGGGGCAGGACTCGTCGTCCCCCTGCACCACCCCCCACGCCCCCCGGGGCTTCTCGTCTCCCTCCAACACGCCGCAGACCCGCGCTGTGCCCCCCGCCCAGGGCCCCCCCGCCCTGACCCTGTCTCAGCCCCCGCGGGGGACCCCCACGCCCAGCTCCCACGCACCCCACCTGGGCCCCCCGTTCCCCCTCTCCACGCCGGCTCAGGGCGTGACCTCCGTCCCCCCTCTGACGCACCCGGGCCTCCCCCCTGCTCCCGCGCTGCAGAGCCCCCCCGCCCTCATCAAGGTGAGGAGACACACCTCGCCGTGCATGTTCAGGGGTCATTCTGGGGAGGGGGGAGCCCCCGGTACAATGTTGGGAGACAGAGAGGGACAGACAGACAGACAGACAGACAGAGACAGGACCTCCCCCCCCCCCCCCCCCTGCTGGTTTTCTAACCTCTTTCCGTTCCAGCAGCAGAGGAAGAGCCAGAAGAGGAAAGCTGACACCACCACGCCCACCGCCAACGACCAGCTGAGCGCGTCCCCCCCCGTCTGTGCTGAGGCTCGGCCGTGGCGGGACAGCATCCGCCCATCCAAGACGCCCAAAAAAGACACGTCGCAGCCGGACTCCCAGCACCACGCGGGAGGCGGGTCGGAGCGGGCGGCGGCGGCGGCGGCGGCCGGCCAGAAGCGGCAGGAGCAGATGCGTTGCTGCGCGCGGCTCGTCAGGGAGATGCTCTCCAAGAAGCACGTGGGCTACGCGTGGCCCTTCTACAAGCCCGTGGACGCCAAGGCCCTCGGCCTCCATGACTACCACGACATCATCAAGCACCCCATGGACCTCAGCAACATCAAGGTGACCATCGGGACGCCAGCGATCAGCAGGAGGACGCGGGGCGTCCAGTAGTCTAACGCTTTGTCTCCTTCAGAGGAAGCTGGACACGCGGCAGTACAGAGACGCTCAGGAGTTTGCAGCAGACGTCCGCTTGATGTTCTCCAACTGTTACAAGTACAACCCCCCCGAACACGACGTGGTGGGCATGGCGCGCAAGCTACAGGTGATGTGTGTGTGTGTGTGTGTGTGCTTCTCCTGATGGTGCTGCAGGTGGAGCTCACTGTTTCTCCACCTTGACAGGACGTGTTCGAGATGCGTTTTGCCAAAATGCCAGACGAGCCGGAGGAGGCGGCCCCCGTTCCCACCCCGTCGTCGGCCCTCCACCCCGCCGCCCTCTCGGCCCGGCAAGCCCCGCCTCTTCCTGGCATCTCCGACAACTACAGCTCGGAGTCCGAGTCCTCGGGGGGCGACTCGGAGCACGAGAGGCAGCACCGACTGGCCGAGTTACAGGAACAGGTCAGCGGCTGGGGAATGAGGGGGGGGGTGAAGCTCGCTGCTCGCTGTCCTTCTTCTCACCGCTGTGTGTGTCGTCCAGCTTAAAGCTGTGCACGAGCAGCTGGCGGCGCTCTCGCAGCCCCCCGCCTGCAAACCCAAAAAGAAGGAGAGGGAGAAGAAGAAGGAGCGGCAAAAAAAGAAGATGGCGGAGGAACCTGCGGAGGCCCCGCCCCCCTCCGTGACCCTCACGACCGGCCAAGAAGATCAAGAGCAGCAAGGAGCCCGTTGCCGTGAGGAAGGAGAGGAAGAAGCCCAGGTAGGCCGGGTCACGGTGCGGGCGTTGTGACCGCGTTGAAGGGCGGAGCTTATCTTTGTTTGTCCATCGACACAGGAAGGATGTTAAGAACATCCGACCGCTCGCCCCCCCCCCCGCCTGAGCCGACGCCCCTGGTCCCCCTCGGCCTCGCTGGAGGCAGAAGAAGATCCGGGTACGTGAGCATCTCAGGACACGTCTTTGGGTTTCTGCCCATCCACCTGCTGTAACTCCCCCCCCTTCCCCTGCAGGTGTGTTTGGGGGCGTGTCCTCCGACCGGTGCACGCCCATGTCCTACGAGGAGAAGCGCCAGCTGAGCCTGGACATCAACAAGCTGCCCGGAGACAAACTGGGCCGCGTGGTTCACATCATCCAGACCAGGGAGCCGTCCCTGAAGAACTCGAACCCGGACGAGATCGAGATCGACTTTGAGACGCTGAAGCCGTCCACGCTGAGAGAGCTGGAGAAGTACGTCTCCAGCTGCCTGAAGAAGAGGAGGAAGAGCCCCTCAGGTAGGACGACTTCCCGTCATGTCGTCACGGCAACGTTCTGTGTGTATATTTATATATATTTATATACACACAGTTTTATCAGGACTGTCAACGTTAACGTGTTGATCTGGGAGATTATTGTGGACGAGATTAACGCAATAAAATATTTCATTATATATATATATATTATATATAATATACATATATATATAATATATATATATATATTATATATAATAAGATTATTGTGGATGAGATTAACGCAATAAAATATTTCATTATATATATATATATATTATATATAATATACATATATATAATATATATATATTATATATAATATATATATATATATATATTATATATAATATATATATATTATATATAATATATATGTATATTATATATAATATATATATATTATATATATATATATATATATATATATACGTGCGTGTGTGTACTGTCCTCCTGATAAATTACCTTCCAGCTTCCCGCTGACGTTCTTTTGTTTTCAGGAGAAAAACCTGTGGAAGCGACAAAGGTGCCGAAGGTGAAGACGGGATCCTCGTCTTCAGGCAGCAGCGACTCGTCCGACAGCGAAGACTCTGAGAATGGTAACGGGTCCCAGAGAGGACGGAGACGCTTTAGTCCCCGGTCCTGTTGAAGCATCACGCGTCATTTATCTGACGCTTTTATCCAAAGCGACTTTAATAAATAAGAACAGTTCAACCATAAGGAAACAAACTCAGAAGAACAAGAAGCAAGAAAGTGCAATTTGATCAAATAAGGCGATTTACAACTCGTTCTAGATAAGCGAGGTTATAAGGAGGCAGCCAGTGTGGCACCACGTGCACTTAGCATTTAGCTCGTAGCACAAACCTCCGCTGTAGAGATTCCTCTGTGAAGGAGGGCTGTCAAAATGACGTTTGAATATTCGCTTTAAAAAACACATATCTGAATATCTGGTTGCTCATTAAGACGCGTCAACAACAGGACAAATTAATACGACGAGACACAACAGCTTGTACAGGCAATTTATTTAACTTTAAACATATTTAACAACATTAAGCAACAACCTGCACAAAAATAAGTGAATGAACTAATGACCACGACCGCGTCTATTCTCTCTCTCCCTCTATTCTCCCTCCCTCTCGCTCTCCCTCTCCCTCTCGCTCCCCTCTCGCTCCCCCCCCCCCCCCCTCCTCCCCCCTGTGAGGAACCAGATGTTGTAGCTGACGGGGGGGTGTCGTGTCTCTCAGCAGGGCTGGTTCCCAAGCTGCAGAAGAAGATGCCGACGGTCAAAGGCACCAAGGGCTCCAGTCCTCCTCCCCCCCCCCACACCCGTCCTCCGGCGGTCCAGTCCAAACCGCCCCCCCCTGCCGCGGCCCCGTCTCTGGACGCGTCCGGCTTTGATCCTCTGGCTCAGTTCATCAACGCTCACCTGCGATCCGACGCCGAGCCCGATCCGACCGCCACCGCCATGGTCCGGCCTCCTTCACGCTACCGCCCCCCCCAGAGAACCCACTCAGTCCTTCTCCTTGCCCCCGGCACACGGTCTCCAAGGTGTGCGCCCACGTATTGTTGTATGTCACCACTGAGTACAGGTGAGTGGTTGTTGGATCAACATGTTCTTCTTCTCTCTGGTCTTGTTGCAGCGGACCCACAACGCTCTCCCCCCAGCAACCGTCTCGGCCCAGCAGCAGAGCAGCGCCCATGCCTCCCAAAGCCCTGCAGGCTCCTCCCCCGTCGCTGCTGCCCCCGCCCCCCTCGCCCCAGCTCCAGCCCTCGCTGCCGCTCGCCCCTCCTCCCGCCCGTCCCCCGCCCCTGTGTCCCGTCGCCCCCCTCACACGGCTTCCTGGGAACCCTCTCGGCGCAACCGCCGCAAGCCCTGCTGGAGGACGACGAGGAGCTGGCGCCCGCCGCTCCTCAAACCCCGCCCCTCAGTCAGGTCCACACCTTCTTGCAGTCGCTGCAGGCTCGGCCCCCCGTGCAGCCGCCGCCCGCGCTGCCCCGCCCCCAGCTGCCGCAGGCCGTGACCGCGCCCGGCCCGGCCCCGGCTCAGACACACGCCTCAGGCCACGCCCACACGCGCCCCCCGTTCCCTCACGCGGCGGCGCAGCAGCAGAGGGGAGGGGCCCTGCAGCAGTCGCCTCGCAGCAGAGCAGATTCCTTCTCAGCAGGTGACGCCTCTTTGTGGTCCCGTTGATTCACTCTTCAGTCAAACAGGATGTCGTCTCACTTCCAC